CCTAGTTGGACCATATTATCGGCTAGACGTCGAATCTCTTTCGCCTGCAAAAAAAAATGAAAAAAATAAAAAAGATATAAATCCCAAAGACAAATCAATTTCAACTAAAGGACCAATTAGTTTACTTTTAGTTTCATAAAAGAAGAACCTTTAACATTTAAGATCCTTCCTTAAACTTGCCTGTTGATTATTTTGAGGAAAGAATAAGAATAAAAGTACCTTGGCAACAGTGGTTTCAATGCGCTCGTGCTTCACCAGCTGCGAAACCATTGTTCTATACCAAACCAAACAAACCAAGAATTGAATTTTTATTTTTATTTTCTTTTCAGAAAAACCAAAGAGAAAAAAAAAAAGAGAAAGTAAAGAAAGGAAAAGGCAAAGCGTAAAATTGGAATAGAGACCTGAGCAAGGACATGCGGTGCCCCGTGGGGCGCCCTAGCTTCCTGAACTTGGTCATTCTCTATTTCTCTCTCCTCTTCGGCTAAGGCTACACAGTAGAAAGTAGAAACAAAGAAGAAGGCGAAGAGACTGAGTAGTAGGGCTTTGCCGATGCACTGATGACCGATTCCCTCTTCTTTCGGGTTCCGGTTTTACCCAAATATGATATGATATGAAATCCATTCCCTTATGTCAGTTTTGGGCTTCCACCCACACCCATTCTATTGCTCTTGGGCTCAAGCCCACTCTTCTGGCTTTCCGCTTTTACGGTCGGTGATGTCATTCAGCTGCTTTGGATTCATCCAATTTGAACTCATTTGGTTACATCCCTTATTAAAATCCTTACTATCTATTAATTATTAACGTTAAAGATTAAGAAGAAAATAAAGAATTTATCTTTAAAAGTACATGAGTTTAGATTTTTATTCTTTATTTTTAATAAATACCCTTTTATTAATGTAATTATTTAATTAAATAGGTTATGAATCAAGAATAAAGAGTAAAAATCTTGACTCATACACTCTTAAGAGTAAATTACTTTAAAAAATATGCAATATAAGATCTCATTGAAAAAAAAAATGATATCTCAATCAGAATTGAAACGAAAAAATTACGAATCCCATACCCCCTTTCAAAACATATTTATCAAGATTATCCTTTGATTAAGGTTCATTCAAATGTGTTCTATCAAAAAAAAAAAAAAAAGATAATCCATTAGATTATCACTGGTAATTATTCTCTGAATAAATCTCTTGATTTTTATTGTTTTTAAAATTAGCATATTTTCCTCATTCTCCCGTGAGAGTACGAGTGAATGGCCAAAAATTTACTCTCTTTTTTAAAAAAATTTAAAGAAAAAGTCTATTTTTTAGTTTTAATTTACTTTTGTTTCGCAATAGATAATTGATTACTAGGTAAATGAACTCACAAAAGAGAGAAATCAATCATTAGAATTCGTCCTTATCCGAGAGCAACCGCTGATGGAAATATTGGAAACATAAGGCATCACAACAATATCAACAAAATGTTAAGAGTTTTTATTTAAGGAAATCAAATCAACTATTCTAAAATTGTATATCTGATGAGAGTGTATCGAGAAAATAATTATTTTCATTAAAGAATAAGGATGATTTCATTAAATAATTATTTAAGCTGATGTTCATGATTATAACTTCATAAAAATTTATACTTTTAAACAGACGCAGTCAGTCTTAGTAAAAACACACAGAAGAGAGGGAAATAGAGAGAGATGATAGGAGTTTTTATGACCAGAAACTCAGTGTATCGTGGGTCTTTGACCACTAAAATTTATCTATAAGTTCGTCATCAGATGCTCAGTTTAGGGTGGGGTTCGCACCATTAAGAGAGGAGGACGGTTGTCGAATCGAATCTAAAATAAGGATGAGATCGTTGTTCAACTTGAAGCGTTATTGGATGCGTTGGTCTTTATTTTGTAGAGGTTTTGTGATCTGTGAGAGAGTTTAGTTGTCTTATAGTACACACGTTAAGTATTATCTATGGAGTCTGGTACACATTATTTTCTCTTGAGCTTATAAAGAACCTGTTATATGTGGTACCATATTTCTTATAATAAGAGTGATGTGTATGCATTGGTATTTATAATGTCTTTTCATATTTTGGAATATATTATCCATTAAAAAACCCACATTTCTTTTGATTTATATTATTTGTCCAATTTTAACCTCCCATGATGGTGCATAGTCAAAGTAATTAAGGAAAGATCTTATTTGGAATAAAATCACAAGAAAAGGAAAAGTATCACAAGGAAAATGGAAAGTATCCTTGCACACTACGGATTTGAAAAAAATAACCCATCCGATAACGCTAAATTTAAACGTGAGTTTTATCAAATATATTTTTAAAAAAATTATAATGTATAGTTGTTGTTTGAAACGGCATGTGTTAAGTAAGCATGAAATTTCAAACAATGACTATACAATCTTATCTCTATGTATTTATTTTAATTCAGACGGCTAGCTAATGCGTCCAAGCATTATCTATTACAGTTTGTCTTTCAACTTCGTGTCTCTCTAGATTTGAAAACAAAGGCAGAGGTAGGCAGTAAAAATAGTTTAGGAAGAACGACAAGAAACTAAGCAGAAAAACGACAATTAATCGAGTTATTCTTAACCCAACATATATATACAAAACACACACGTTCCGCATGGTCCCACACGCGGTTATCACGTGTGTCCCTGACATATGGACTATAAATTTGATTTTATTCTTCTGTGAAGCAAATAGTATCAAAGTCTTGCATCATGTGTTATTTCGGCAGTATATATCCAGAGCAGCAAAATTCTCTCTCACTTCCCATTGTTTTTTGTTTGAGTTTGCCGTTGTTTTGTAGTGCCACTAGTTTCTTTCTTTTACGAAATAGAAGATAGATACATAGATAGATGTAGATAAATACATATCTGTCCCGTTACCCCCTTATACATCCCTTTCTATACCTATCTCCTTTTCTATTTTGTTTCTTTTTGACAAACATCACTTATTATTTGGATGTGCACGATATTTTCTAAAAATAAATAAAGACACCTTTCTTCTTCTTTTTTTTCAATGCAAAACAACATTTTATTAACAATAAAGCATAAAACTTAAAAAAAACGCAATATAAAAAATTTAATACAACAAACCAACGTCATAAATCTGTTAACGTTCTAGAACATAGATCTAAAGTCCGATAGTGGACACAATTTGGAGCATTTTCTTGAGCTCTTTTAATTATCCCTCCATAATTGGCTCTCTCAAATGGGCCGTAGCAAACTCTCTTGCAAAGACCGATCTCTAAGAGTCAATATTCTTTTCGATCAAGCTCGCTGAAGCGGGAGATCTGAGTAAAAGCATACATAAGATGAAAAACAACACTAAACCCGCCCTGATCTAGAGATTGGTGGGGAAAATAACCAAGACCAACAAACAAAACCCACTCAAAGTTAGAGCTTGTGGGGAAATACAACCAAAATCACTAAAAGTAACCAAAACCTACATAGATTTAGAGATTGATTGGACATTAACAATGATAGAATGATTGCTTTTATTGCACCTACGACTAAAAAAAAAGAGAAGAAAACACTAATACAAACTCTATTATCATGTAGATCGGTCGACGTAAAGTGCAATAGTATATTTTAAAGGCCGGCTGCTCAGAGACGCACTTTCGATAGCTATCATTCTTTCATGCTCTCCCTTTCAACAAATAAATAATAATATACCCACATATAATTTTGACACATTTCTAGTTCGCGTGCTATATTTATGTATAATTTAATTGCACCCAATTCTGTCGTGAAGTGTAGAATTTAAATCCTCAATCCACATTAGGAAAAAAAAAAAAAAAAACTAATATTGTTTGATTTTTTTGATTAGAAATATAATATTTGATTTGATGTTAATTAGTGAGTGTTGCATATTATTTTGTAATTCGGGCATCTACGTTAATTTATTTTTATTAACGTCTGGAAAACATACTATATAATCAATAACCATATATGTATATATATTTACTGATCTGGAACTCAAATATGTTATGGTGAATGGTATTCAGATAGTTTTATGAATAATCATAGAAGCAGATCTATAAAATCTTCATTGCTCAATCACTGCCCACTGTCCATGTACTATATATAGCCTATAGGCACACATGAAAAAAAAAAAAAAAAAAAAAAAAAAAAAAATTTTGTGTTGACCAAGTGAAGATGATTAACTAATAGAAAACATTGTTCACTTGAGATTTGATCTCATTAGTATAAAATTTAAATGAAAGCCTCGTTTTAGGTAAACAGTCCAATGGGTATTTTTTTTTTTTTCTTAATTCTTATTCTCGAGTATGTGGCAAACAACATGATCATACCTATGCCTACATAATATGCAGACATATTGACGTTGATGGTGCAACGAAGCCATATTATCAACTTTAAAATTATTACTGCCACATGATGGAATTAGTGGTAATATAATGAAATGAGGATGTGAAACAAATTTGAACAAAATGAATTTAATTATATAATTGTGCCCATGTGTCGACTAGATGTAAGAAAATTCAAGGAATTATATTAATTACCAACTACGTACTCATAATATATATATATATATATATATTATCTTTGTTGATGTGTGTGCGTGTATTATCCTCGTGTATAAATCTACAAAGCTTTTGCATAAGAAAAGGATAAAGGACCATACAATATAACACAACTTCATAACCAAATTAAATGGTACGTTCTCAAGTATGCCCAAAAATAACGACGGATTCATTCAACAACCCCTCCATACAAACAAACTAACATTTTAATAATGTAGTAAAATACCCTAATTAGCAAACATATTGATTATTTATTGAGAGAGAGAGAGAGAGAGAAAATAAAAAAGAAGAAAACTAGGAAATCTAATCTAAGGTTAATTAGAAAACCAAAATAAAAATAAAAAATGTCAGCAGCAGTTGATGCTCATGTTGGAGAATTGAGTGGACAAGGCAGAGGCACCTCCTCCCAAATCCCTTGTTTTGTTATTATTATTAACAAGAGGATTAGGAGGTGCCCATTCCCACTTATTAGTAGTAATAAAATTATGATCATTACTAATTTGATCATTAGTAATTTGATCACGTGGGTGGTTTTGGGTTTGGGAAGAATTGATGGAGAGCCATTTGGAGTGCATGTAAGCGGCGGTTCTCCAAGGGGGCACGTGGAGGCCTCTTTCTGTGAGGGACTGTTTGGCTGCGGAGCAAAGGAGTGATATAATCGGGATGAGTTTGTCCTCCGTCCCCACAAATATCTGAGGGAGTGAATCCGTCAGCTGCTTGTAGAATGGGGTGGGCCTTGCCACTTGGAACTGTGACTTGAACTCTATGTCCACTATCACCCTCTTCTTCTTCTTCTTCTTCCCATTTTTAATCTCAATGAACTCGTAATCACCTGTCACACCAATAATATACACACATATATATATATATATATATATTAAAAACAGTACGAGATTAATTTGAGGAGTTTGGAAAACCATTTCTTGGAGTTTAAGAAAAAAAAAAAAAAAAGACTCACCAGCAGGGCATCCAAAGGAAGTAACCCAAGAAGTATGGCAAAGAGAAGCATTGAAGCCATCGGTGTTAAGCTTCATGACAAGAAAGTTTCTAATAATATGATGATGGTTGTATTCATCCTTTTTGTTTCTCATTATAATTATGTGCTTCAAAACTCTCTCAAGGACCTCACCTTCGGCCTTTGTCCTGCGCCCAAGCATCTCCTACCAAAAACAAAACAAAAAATTCAAACATAAGTATATATAACTTTAAAAATACATGGATGAACATATATCTTAATTTGCACAAAACACAACAAAAACCAAACTCGTATATGTTCATACAATTAAAAAATAAATAAAGAACCTGCAAATTGTAATACTCGGTTTGGTTAGCAAGAGGAAAGGTGTTGCAGTGATGATCAGGAGGTGTTGATTGATCTTCTGATGATGATGATGATGATGATGATGATGATGATGATTCTATAAAATCATGAACCATCTGAACCAGTCTCTCCTCTTCTACGCTTCCCATATTTTTCACTCTTTAATTTGTTTTTCTTAATTTGATGATCAAAAAGCAATGCTAATTTTGAGTAGAAAATATTGGATTTGGAGCTATGTGTGAAAACTTGAAGGAAGGGGCTGGTTTTATATATGTTTAAGGTAATTATGTGGACACGAGTGTGGCGGTGGAAAGTAGTACTAATATGACACCTATATGGTGACAGATGAGGTCATTGTTAAAATAATTAAACACACTATGGTAACACAATAGTTAGAAGAATATTGGTGAAGAATATCCTTATCTTTTTTCTCTTTTTGTAGGACCCTGAAATTGACATCATCATCAGGAAAAAAAAAAAAAAAAAGCCTCAATACATTCGACACATCAGAACAGGTAGGGATTGTTCTTTTGTAGTATAACTTGAGTGTAATTTTTGAGTTGAATTTGAGTTATAACTTGAGTTGAAGTTAAAATTTGAATAAAATTAAATAAAATTGAATAAAATTAAAACTTAAAAGAACATAAATTTAAATTATCTTTTTTTAAAAATTTTTTAGATAAAAGAACATGTCCGTAATTTCGCTCTCAATAAAGACAATCCAAAGAAAAATAAAATAATAATAATAATAATAAAGTTCCAAGGAAGTCCAAAACATTCAACTGTCTTTTTTGGAAAAACCAGCACTTTGGTTTGCTTTCCTAGCTAGTGGAGGAAAAATGTTGCTTAACTGACATATGACGCGTGTCAAGCACGTGTCTGGTGGAGGATTGTTGTCCAACTCTAGTGTGACAAATAAGAGTCCGTTATTTCTATTTTTCTGTCCGATTAATTATTGTTCCACGTATAAAATTAAGCATAGAACTAAATATGCACTAAAAATGCTTGAATAACTAAATCAGATGTTAAAATTTAATAAAAAAGATAGACGAATAGATAAATGAGACAACATGTTTAAACCTTAAAGAGAACCGCTAGTTAGGGCTGTTCATGGGTTGGGTTGGTGCGGGGTAGAATTTTTTTTTCTCCGCCCCAAAGGGTGCGGGTTGCACATATTTGGCCCCAACGATGTTAAAAAAATTTCACAACCCAACAATATTTGGGTTGGGTTGGGGCGGTGCGGGGTGGGTTGGGTGGTCGGTTTCAACATTCAAAAAATCAAAGACTTAAAGTTCGATATAATATTCAAACTTCATCATTAAATAGAAATAGCACCTATCCTTATCAGTCCGGCGAGAGAGCACCGGAGAAAGTGGGCAAGACGGCGGCCGAGAGGACTGAGCAATGAGGAGAGAGTTATGAGGGGGTTCACGGGAGGGGAAGAAGAGGGAAAACTGAAAAGGAAGAGGCAAGAAGAGGGGGTTCACGGGAGGAGAGACCGAGAATGAGATTGTGAACCCTAATGTTAGCGAGCCTAGGGTAGAACTTAGGCAGTTTGGCTTGGGCCGAAAGCTTGGAGGTATGTTGTGCGGGTTGGGTTGGGGATTGCGGGTTGTTATGGGCCCAACCCGTAATCCGCCCTAAACACTTCGGGCCAGAGGTATAATGAGCCGTAAATTTAAAAATAATGCTGTTGGTTGCTTTTTTCGGCTTGGGTTGGGGCGGGGTGGGTTGGGTTTGCGGGTTATTTGAGTTTATGAACAACCCTACCGCTAGTAAGTATAGATTGGTAGATGAGGCCTTCCAGCTAAAACCTCCCTAGTTTTTTTTCTGTTTTTTTTTTTTTTTTGGACTAAAACCTCTTAGTTTGCCTACACTAAATACACATTGCATATTGTGTGTTGTTCAACAGCTTTTAAGATGTGTAATAATTTTTTTTCTTTTGGGATAAAAAATGTTTAATTAATCATTTAGTTATTTTACCATGTCAGCAGTACGGGGAGAAAGAGGCAGTAAAGTAAAGATATGGCTCCGTTTGGTAATGCTTTTGGGAAGCTAAAAGCACTTTTTTTTCAGCTGAAGCTCAAAAATGTGTTTGGTAAACACATAAAAATAGATTCTTAAAAAATCTAAAAGCTATTTTCCATCTGAAATCAGAAGCAGCTCATTTGCTGCTTCTGATTTCAGATTGTGCGGGAATCTAAACGGAGCCATTAATGAAATTTTGGTTATTCCCAAAATAACCCATCTCTCCCTCATCCTCGTGCACACATCTCCTCAGCCCCTCCCCCTAAAACTCTCAGCCTCTCAACCGTCGCTCGTGCTCTCTCTTCTCAGCCTTTCAGCCTCCTCTCGTGCTCTCTCGCCTCAGCCTCTCTCAGCCTCAACCTTCGCTCTCTCAGCCAAAGCTCTCTCCCTCCATTTATTTTTCTTCTCTCTCTCAGACTCCCTCTCTCTGTTTATCTCCTGCGATTGTCGGCGGCGGAGTCCCCAAAATCTCTGTTCGTCGCTAGCTGAGACCAGCGGATCTCGTTGGAGCTCGCAATCTCTGCATTTGTAAGTGCTCGATTGAACTTTTTTTTTAATGTCGATTTAGTGTATGGCTTGATGAAATTTGGGTTTTGAATGTCGATTTGGTGTTGGTGGTTTCGAATGTCGATTTGGGTTTCCAGATTTTGTACAAAATTTTGTTCTTCGACAGCCATTTGATCTCATAAAATTTTTTTTCCAGATTACTCCGAATCTGTTGAGTTTTGTTGAGTTCCTTGAAATTGCTAATCGATGCATTACCCTTTTCCTTCTGTTGATCTTTATTGCTGAAATCTCGATGACAAACGGTTGTGCAAAAGCTGAGATTATAGGACAAATTTTGCAATTTTTTTACTGTAATGTATTTCTGGTGTTTTGGTTCATCTGGGCATAGGCTCCGTTAGTATGAATGCCATTGAAGAAACAGGGAGAACGGTGAAGAAATGGTCAAGATTAGGAACTAAAAATGTAACTGCTAATGTTAATGAAATTAAAAAAAAAACGAAAGACATTAAGAAATTAAAAAAAAAACCGTAAGAGAGAAGAACATGACCAATTTTTCATCCTTCTTCTTGGAATTTGAAAACCTAGTTTTTGTTTTTCTGTTTTATTTATTATTCATGATTTTTAGACAGTTAGACATTGATCTTTATTATTAGTATGTGGAGTTTTCAATGTTTTTTGGCTCTACGCAGCGATAGCAAGGTGTGTTGGTTATAGAGCTTTACTCTTGCAAAGCTTTCACCTTTACTGCTTGGGAGCTTTAAGTGACAATGGCTTAGTTTGTACTTCCCAGTAGAGGGTGCAGGATCTTCTTGAACTAAATGACCTCATTTTTTCGTATTAGAAGTTTTCCAGCTCGTATTTATGTGGCAAATATGTGTGTTTTTAGTGTGTGTTATCTTTTGTTAGCTATTTCTTTTTCTCTTTCCTCTTTGATAGACAAACTCTTACCTTGAGGGTTAGTTTCCTAACAGCAGATATGTGTAGGCAAAATAGGGAAAAATTATGACACTGAAAGTTCTTTTTGAAGATGCTATGCGACATTTGGCATATTCTTTAGTCATATAAATTTTAAGAATTGGGAATTTTTTTTTTATTATTAATGAAATTTGAGAACCATACCAATTCTGGCATCTGTGTATCAGTTTATGCATTAGAAGTTTAAGGGCTATAACCTCATGTATCTTCTCATGGTTGAAGTGCAAGTTTTTTGGTCTTTAGGTTGGGTAAGGTTGGTTTGAGCCTTGAGAGATTGGAATTGAAGCTTTAAATATTTTTAGAAGAAAAAACCACTTATAGCCCCTTTCTTTCTTTCCTCTTATATATATATATATATGTGTGTATATGTATGTATATATGTATGTACGTATAATGCAATCAGTAATGTCAACAAAAGTGCTTGTCACTGTTAAAACTATCTATTCTAGTCTAATCTAATATAATATATAATCTAATAATAATAACAAGCAATATTAATGCGTAGCTTCAGAATTCCAATAAGCTTAGCTAAATAGATCACATATGCTTAACCAATGACCTGATCAACATTTCTACAAACCATGTTATGATATGCCTATGTTATTTATTTGCAGCTTAAACTGTTTGATCATTTGCCATTTTTACCGTTCTATTTATTTTTACCATTCAATTGCAATACTAGCAAGAATGGAGGTTGACACTCTTGTGGTTAAATATTGCTTAGCTATTTGTTCATTATCATTTGCTTAAAAAAGCCTTAAGTTACTTTAGTTATTTTTATTATCTATAAATATGCGTTGGGACGTTGGGTCATAATGGTGGTAGCACTTTCAGTCATCATTTGTTCAAATGGAGGGTAGTGCATCACAAGGTAAGGCGATATGGGATACCGAGGCAATACAGCTTTTTTGTGATTTATGTATCAAAGAGGTTGAAGGTGGACACCGACCTGGGACACATCTTGACAAAGTTGGATGGGAAAATGTAATTCAAAAATTTAACGAAGTAACCAAACAAGTGTATAAAAGAACACAATTGAAGAATAAGTGGGATGCTTTGAAGAATGATTGGAAACTTTGGACGGAACTTGTTGGGAAGGAAACGGGTTTAGGTTGGAACAATAAAAAGAATACTAGTGATGCATCTGAGGAATGGTGGCATAATAAATTGCAGGTATACGAACAATATACGAATGAAGTTGCACATTATTGATAGTGTAGTGTTAGTGTGTGGCAGGTTTAATTTATTAAAGTATTTTTACAGATTCATCCTAACACAGCGAAGTTTCGTACTCGGGGAATTGAACCAGAGTTTGAGGATAAGTTGAATAGGATGTTTACTAATACTGTGGCCACAGGGGTGTATGCTTGGACACCCGCATCTGGACAGATGCCATGTGAGGATGATAAAACAACAAATGAAATGATATCTCCACTTGAACAACTTGAGAGTAGTGGATCGTCAGATGCACCTATCGGGAGAGAAATGCCAGAGAACCCTAAGAAGAAGCGTCCAATCGAGCTAGATGAGGGACAAAAGAAATTCAAAAGAGGGAAAGGTAAGGATAAAGTTGGCGGTGAGGCCAAATTGTCTCAACAAATTGAGCGCCTTGTCACTGTAATGGAGACTATTAGTACCGGATCATCCATTGCACAAACTAAAGGACCAGATTATAGCATGACACAAGTTATTGAAGTCCTTGAATCTCTACCTGGATTAGAGAGTGGGAACGAGTTGTATTTTTTTGCTATCCACTTGTGCGCAGACACGATTAAAAGAGAGGCATTTTTTGCTTTGAAACGACCTGAGTTGCATCTTAGCTGGCTTAAGTTTGAGCACGGCCTAGGATCATCCTCTTAAATTCCCTTGAGTATCCCTTGAGTGTCCCTTGAGTCTTCCTTTACTATGAGTAGTATTTTAGTGTGGCTTTCATTAATTATGTACCAGATTGTTGTTTTTTCCATGCTTTTGAATACGATGTATTAAATATTGTACTCCATTTTTATCCATCAGACATTGATATTTTCTATTATTTCATTTGAACATTGTTTACATGTAGGTTTCTTCATTATTAGCTGGGATGTCTGACAATATTACCCAGCTACGTTTACAACTTGTTTGTGTTACTGCACACATCATTGAACAATATTATAATAAGTATATTCACAAAAATCCTTGTATGAACTCTGCTCAAACGGAAAACATGTGGGTAATGGAATTATTAGGCGGACATGAAATTAGAAGTTATAGAATGTTTAGAATGGATAAGGATGTATTTATGTCCCTATGTAATGATTTGCAATGTAACTACGGATTACAGGGATCAAGAAATATATCTGCGTTTGAAATAGTCAGAATGTTTTTGTTCATTTTAGGTCAGGGTGCGGGAAATCGTTCAACACAAGAACGATTTCAACACTCTGGTGAAACAATTAGTAGATATTTTGAGTATGTTCTAGACATTGTTTGTCGTATGAGTATGGATGTTATAAAGCCTGATGATCTAGAGTTTAGTGGAGTTCCTCAAGAGATATTAGTGGATTGTAGATATATGCCTCATTTTAAGGTATTCTCTTAGTTCATAATATGCTTCCTTCCTTATTTAAAGTATTCATTTTAAACATAGAACTTTCTTCTTTTTAGAATTGTATTGGTGCAATAGATGGCGTATACGTTCCAGCTATAATACGACCAGAAGATCAAGTCCCATTTATTGGTAGAAAGCGTGTGCCAACCCAAAATGTGATGGCTGCTTGTGATTTCAATATGAAATTTACATATGCATATGCAGGTTGGGAAGGTAGTGCTCATGATACAAGAATATTCTTAGCAGCACTACGTCGTACAAGTTTGAAGTTCCCAAAACCACCAGAAGGTTAAAACCTCTTCTATATTCATAAGAACTCTGTTTTATTAATTACTAAGTCTTTGTGTTTGTATCTCAATAGGTAAATACTATTTAGTGGACGCGGGTTATCCACAATTAAAAGGATTTCTTGGACCTTATAGAGGAGAACGATACCATTTAGAACAATTTCGAATGGGTCGTCGACCAACTGGCTATAAAGAGGTATTTAACCAAGCACATTCTTCTCTTCGAAGTGTCATTGAACGCACATTTGGTGTCTGGAATAAAAAATGGAAAATTTTGAAAGACATGCCAAATTATCCGTTTGCAAAGCAAGTGAAAATAGTTATTGCTACAATGGCGCTCCATAACTACATTAGGAAGCATCATAAGCGTGATCTACATTTTCAAAGGGTCTAGGATAATCTAGATGATTTCGTTTATGAAGAGAATCAACCAGATGACAATAATGTAGAAGAGAATGAAGCTTTACTATCACTGGAAATGGGTGAAGTACGAGATCAAATTGCAATAAGCTTAATGAATACGACTTAATTCTTTTCATTTGAGTTAAGTTTGTAGGTATATACGTGTGTATTTGTAGGACTTAAGTTTGTATTTGTAGGTACATATGTGGTGTGTGTGTATGGATATATATGTTTGTATTTACGTGTGTGTGTGTGTGTGGATATAATATTTATGTATTCACGTGTGTGTGTGTGTATTTTGTATTTTGTTCTTTCCATGCATGCCATGTTTTGTAATTTTGAATGAATTGTCTACTTCATATAAGATGTTTGTTATATGATTTTTATCTACCTTACATTCTGATTTTTTTTCCTACTCACGGACAAATGTAAAAGAGGTTGCATATATTCATTCATTCAGTTACACGTTTTCTTTTCAGTTGGTTTTTTTATCCTTGCGAGCCTTTATAGTTTGGACTCTGTGGATGGAACAGAATGGTATAATTTTTTAGGAAAAGGCGATGGGACCATTTGATATTTTTGAGAATGCGAAGTTCTATGCCAAAAACAATTCCACAACTCGAAGACTACAACTGTCCCTGAGTAATTGTTACTAATGCTTCTTTTAGTTGTAATTATATTGTGAATGAAGAAATGGAAAAAAAAAATGAGAATTAATTATCATAAATTTATTGTTAAAAAATTCAAAATCAAAACATTATGTGTTTTTAAAGTTAAACAAGTATTTTTAAATACCAAAAATAATTATATCTATTTAAATTTCATATCATGTTTTTTTGGTCATTTTACATACCCACAGTAATTCCACCTTAAAATTTACCAAACGCTATTTATTGATTTTGAAATCAGCACAGCTACTATAATTATAATTTACCAAACACTCAGCTGCTTTTTGAAACAGTTACTTTTTCTTTTAGCACAGCTAAAAGTATTTTTTTTAAAATCCACAGCATTACCAAACTAAGCCATGGGTTTGGGACTTTAAAACACCACATTAATCTGTTGTACATTTTTGTTGTTATGGTAGACTTGCTATTAAACTGTGATACTCGTATTCAATATTCATGAACTACGTACAGTAGAACTGATATATATGGTTGCAGAAAGAAAGAAGAAGAAGAAGAAGAAAGGATTTATATAGTCGGAAGTGGAAGTCTAAGTCAGAGATTTACGTAGTAAAGTTAAGATAGGAGGCAAATCCCACAACTTAGATTCTGCCAAACTCAAGAACCAACTAGCAAAATATTTCAATGTGATTGGAACCAGACATTTATTTGGTTAATTATATAAGCTTACAAGACATGAAATTAGGGTAAGAGAGAGATAATGTACGAAGATATATATGTTTGTACCAATTATTAAAAAAAAGCACACTAAAACTAAGCTAAAAGATGCTAAATATATAGTGGCAGCCACCTAGGACTAACGACTGTCGACATGATCTCTCAATCACAATAATATTCACATGCCGTTTTTTCCAGTTGGTTTTGGAGGTGAAGAATCCATCTGCCTCCATTAATATTCCCACCTTAATTTCAATAGAGTAATCGATAGCTACGAGGATATCGGCAATCCACCTTAATTTCAATATAGTAACATGTGTAGTAGTGTAGGCTTGAGTTAGAGTGACCAATACCATGGTGTAGTGGCAATATTATATAGCACTCATTAGAAACATACATGCAAAACAACAAGTCGATGAAATAACCATCATATATTATATACATAAGACAGCTGGCTAGCTATGATATGTTATGAGAAAGTTAACTTTCTAATTCTGTCAAGTGCTTCAAGGCAATAGAGCCGGTCTCTAGTCCTAATTCCACTATATAACGGCATGTTTAGTGACATTTATACATTGTATAATTTAATATGAGATTCAAAATTAATACAATATGAAGTGTGATATTTAGTATGTAAAATTGAATGTCTGTTGTAGCTTGTATAAAAAAATCTCACACACACATATGCAACATAGAGTAGTGTGTGCCAAATGAGCAGCATCTGCACTATAGTAGTACAAATACACTGGCAAGATATCAAAATTCCACAATACAACGTTTGTGAAAATAAACATCTCCTAAATAGAAGATTTTAAGAAACTCATAATCATATGTTAGATACGTGCATACAATAATGTTTGCCAATTGAGAAACTTATGATAAATAGTAGCACACTGGAAAGTGCCTGAAAAACTTTTCAATTAATGAATGTCTTCAGAGCTTGGACGCTGCAAATTGATTCACGCATTTTTTTATTTTTTATTTTTTATTTTTAAGGTAGAATGTAATAAAGCTAACAAGAGGGAGATTTTCGTAATTAAACTATTAAATATGTCGTAATAGAAGAAGGAAACAAACGACGTCGTCAAACTTTACCAAAGTTAATTTAGTTTATTTTATTATTATTATTATATTTTTTTTGAAAATGAGCAGTCTATGTATGATGATTAAAACGCTCTAAAACCCTAAACCACTAAAACCCCCCATTTCCCCCTTTCCTTCCTTCACTTCTTCTCTGCGTTCAAGTCAAGTGCAAACGCTAAAAGCTATGTCCGCCATAGCCAGAGGCTTGGCCTCTCGCCTCCGCCTTCTCTCCTCCATTTCTACTACTAACACTTTCTTAATCCGGCGATTCAGCGCCGCTGAGGCCTTGGTCGACGGCGGCGATGGTGAGATCAACACTCATCGGATCATCGAAGCGAAGGCGGGCGTCATGACTCCCAATTCGAGGCGGACGGGGCTGGTCGGCGTCAAATGCGGCATGACGGCTCTCTGGGACAAGTGGGGCGAGAGAATTCCCATCTCCATCGTTTTCGTGGACGACAACATCGTTTCTCAGGTTAAGACTCCCGAGAAGGAGGGAATCACTGCCTTGCAGGTGTCTCTTTCTTTCTTTCTTTCTTTCGTAGGAAAATGCACAAAAATTTTATCATCATCTCTTGTTCAAAGACCCAAGCATTAGTTTCAAGCAAAATTCTTCTTAAAATGAATTAAGTTGTTGGGTTGGTAGTTAGATTGGTTGTGGACAGAAGAAGGAGAAACACTTGAGGAAACCGGAAGTGGGTCATTTCAGAGCTCAAGGTGTTCCCATGAAAAGGAAATTGAGGGAATTCCCTGTTACTGAAGACGCGCTTCTTCCTGTTGGTACTTCATTAGGTGTTCGACATTTTGTACCTGGTCAATACGTTGATGTCATCGGAATTACCAAGGGCAAAGGTTTTCAGGTTAGCTGCTCTAATTAAATTAATTACCGATTGTTAATTATCGTATTAGTCTATTGCTATTTGCTACAATAGTGAGATTAATTTCACACAGCAAAAACTACATCCTTTTGTCTTAAAAACCTTACATACTGTTCACTCATGTTTAGAACCCTTCAAAAAGTGGAGTTTAGAACATGCTTATTTGAGAAACTGAAATATTATAAGTGAAGTTCAGGAACTTCTATTCTATGTTATGCATTCTCTTTAGATTCTTATATGTGTTTTCTGTTTTAAGGGTGTGATGAAAAAATACGGATTTGGAGGAGGACCAGCTTCTCACGGTGCGTCACTATCCCATCGGAGTCCTGGTTCTACGGGTCAGAGGGATGCTCCTGGAAAGGTCAGTACGCATTACTTTCATCTCTTTGATTCTTGCGTTGTTTGCAGAAACCGATAAATGATTTTATAATGCTTTTCTGGGATAATGGATGAAATGAGATGTATTAGCAGTGTGCTGTCTTTCTTCTGATGATTGATGCATTTGGAATTTTTTCCCCCCTCTATTGACCAGTGCTCATATTTTAAAGCCAATGTCTGTCAAATAAACATCAAGTAATACTTCCTGTGTTTCCTTTTCTCTTGGATTTTATATTCAACTATTTTTATGTTTATGAACAGGTTTTCAAAGGGAAAAAGATGCCTGGACGCATGGGCGGGAATCAAAGAACGGTTAAAAATGTTTGGGTTTACAAGATTGATCCAGCGAGGAATATGTTGTGGTTGAAAGGCCAGGTATGTTTCTCTTGCTCTTGTAGTCTGTGCTTCGAAACTTAATGGATCAGGAGAAGACTCTTCCCTGCCCCTACTCTCATTGTTGAACTTAACCAGCCAACGAATTGTCCCTAATTCCAATAGTTAGGAAGATAAACAGAAATTTTTGCCAATAGTGTTTATTTTATTTTATTTTATTCCCACATTGTTTTGGATTGAATTTTTGAATGATTGTTGTAATCCAACTGTTTGGAATAATTGTGCGGTAACTAGTGTGATTTTCCCCCTTTCCGATTGCAGTTTTTTGTTGCATGAGCAATAATGTACATTTAGAAAATTTTTATTTTAATCTGCTAAAATTCTGTGTATTTTATGAAATTGTTTTTTTTTTTTTTTTCTTTCCATGATGTGTATCAATTTTGGTGTTAATTATAATGTTAGAACTGGTTTTGTTTTGCAAAGTTTTGGGGGTCTAAAGTTTGCCATTTTCCATAGGTCCCTGGTGCCCAAGGAAACTTTGTATTCATAAAAGATTCTGTTTTTAAGAAACCAGACATATCACTGCTTCCATTCCCCACGTACTTTCCTGAAGAGGACGAGGACCCAACGGAGTTGGAACCCCTGGTTGCCGATCTTGGGGAAGTAGATCCATTCATGGTAGCAGCAGATTAGTAGGACCTAAAATGGAAAACCTTAGAATTAGTCCAGTTTTGCCAGTTTGGTTTTGCACTTTTGCTTCCAGGCATGGCTTTTTTACGCGCGAGAAATCGTTTGGCAGCTGTGTGTGAGAGGAGCCACATGAGGAAAGGCAGTTGATGACATTCTTTATTTACGATTTTTATATGGAAAGGCAGCTGGAGAAGCGTGTAATCTTACTATTCAGTTTTATCATCCACAATCTCATTGTCCAAACAATAAATTTAAGACAGTAGACGTCTTGGATTTTGGTCTGTTGATAAGACCTTTTTGTGGAATTTCTTGCCCAAACTTGATGCTTTGCCATATCAATATGCCTAAGAAAGTTTGCTTAAAGTCTTGACATAACTTCAAGGGTAGTAGTTCTATTTATGTTTGCTCAAGTCTTTTACCATGCCTTGGCTTTACCTTGGGTCTTGAATGAATCAAAGGCAACCAAAGCAATCTAGTACTCATGACTACTTTTTAAATAAAATATGATGAAACCCTAAAGCTTCTTATTAGTACTAATTGTAATGATGTAAGATTTGGGATTGTATAATAGTTTCGTAAAGATTATCCCAAAGAAGAAAACTAGAAATAAAAGTACATGAGACAAAATGAGGTACCTCGTGATATTTGATACATCATCCATCATTGTTGTGGATATTTTAAACTTTTTCCCCACTAATCCTTGCGTGCATAAAGTCTTCCAAGTTGATTTTTTGTTCTCTCTCTTATGGTGCCTTGAGTGCTTACAAGAACGCAGTTACTTAAATTGCAAGTTACTTAAAATGAAAGACATTTATCAAATAAATTAAGAAGGAAAACAGATGTTCAACTTTGTATTTTCAGTAATTTTGAATTTTAAAACCCTTTGAAATCTATCCTTCTAGCACCTTTTAATTGACTTTAATGCCATAAAATTAGATAAGATGCCAAGTTTATCTTGACAAAATAAAATTCTCTTCGTAACAATTCCTAACCGCTTGTAATTTTAATCATCGCGCTTAAGGGATACAACTCTTTATTGGCAATTTGAGGGTCAGTTTTTCATGATTACCAATAATGTAGATGTATTGGATATCACTCGACCTCAGATGAGGATTTTGTAATCTCCTGCCCTTACCCTTCTGGTCCTTGGGATAAGCTGCCAGAGCCTCACAACTGGTGGTGAGTTTCAACTCCATAACTTGGCCACAATTGCTTTGGGTGTCAACTGCTTGTCGACGCCATCGCCATCATCGTTGGTTTCAACTTTCAAAGATGACAACCACGGCGGATAGTGGATATCCATAACTAGTACTCGTTCTAGAGTCTTTCCTTGGATGTTTAGGTTCCGTTCATTTCACCGATTCGAGTTTAAAATTCGAGTTTTGTTACAGTAAAAAGCTCTCAGAAATAGTCACATCTAACTTTTTTACTATAGTAAAAAGTTATGACATAAAGTCACATCTCAACTCAAATTAAAAACTCGAATCAGCAAACTAAACGAGCCTTAAGAAAGTGGTTTGGTGGTCATCGTGACACTGATTCCGTCACTATCTTGGCTGCCAACGAGTAGGAAATGAGAAGAGTGGCCGTAAGGAGGATCAAGATTAAAAGGAATGAATGTTGAAGGCACCAAAGATAAGAGACAACGGCAAGAGTGTTGCTAATTAGCTAAGTTGTCCAAGCCAGTATCTTCTACCACAAGTATGGATTAAGACTTGACATTTTGGACAAGTAAATCCGAAGTTGAATAAGGGCATCAAAAAGCCTAAGGCTAAAGTTTACAACTATAATTGGAAACTAATCTTTTTTAGGGACAAATCCGAATGTCTAGGGCCTAGTAATTAAATACCTAGTAACTAGCTCATGGCCTTGGCTCTTTAAAATTTGCAAAAGTGACTAGAGAACAAGTCAATTGGAAGGTTGTTATAATTATTGTTTGTTTTAATAGACTGATGGCTTGCGAGAGAAAACTTGGACAGTGAAACTTTCCACTCTATAGTATCCCGATAGTATACCGGGCATTGAACACAACACCATCATCATCTGATAGCTCTTCAGTGAGCCTTGATCAGTCTTTAGGCAAAAGAGGAAAGAACTAACACTGCTAGTATCTTCAATGGTACGTAGTGGATTTCCAGATTTCATAAACAGCATGGGATATGGCGATATGCGGAGAAAAGATATGCAGAGAAACAAATGACAAGAAAATAAATAAATTAAAAGAGACTTATCATTGAGATAAAACTGTATTACAAAAATAAATTATCTAAATCATATATATCGGAAACTTTAAATTTCCTGTTTGGTTAAATTCAAAGAAAAATTTCCTTTTGCCTACTCTATTTCTCTCACAGCCCAAATGTGGCAGCTCTAAACCAGAAGCTACAACTAATTGGGCATGAGTACAATTAGATGAAGAATGTCAGACTCTGCAACAATGATGAGTAAGCTTTAATTTAAAAATAAAAATAAAAATAAAAACTAAAAAATAAAAAATAAAAATAAAAATGCCCAAAGACCTATCTGTAGTCTCGACCCGGAATTAGTTCCAAGTAAGAGTTAGGCTTAGGCAGCAGCTCAGACAAAATGCTCAGTAGGATATTCATGCTCATATCCGTTGTAGTCATAGTATAGCCTCTCCCCTTTAGCAACATCACGAGTAGCAACCAAAAACACCCGGCATTCACCGTTAACGCTGTATCTCACACATTTACAATTCTGCTTCTTCTTGCCATCCCTGCACAATATTCAATATATTTTAGGCATTATAGTCACAATGCTCTTAGTAAACAGAAAATATTGTGCAAAGTTCATTGGGTAGCGTGGTCAAAAACTTGCCTTCCAGGAAACATTCTATACTTAGTAGTGAATTATTTTTCAACGGACAGGTTCATCATATTTGGGTGCTGTTTAATTTTGAAACAGTTTTGATGTCACTTGACGCTCAGAAACAACACTACCAGGAAATATTCTATACTACAGAAGCCCGGAAGCCCTTAAAAGATATGCTTTGAACGGTCCAATAACATTAGCTATACCCATATACTATTTCCTTTCTTTCCCCAATTTGAAGTCAGAATATGCATACCAAGAGAAAAAGGTTGCATGGGCTTACATGGTATGATTGTTAATGCCATTGATAAAGCGAGCAATGTTTCCGCGTTTATCAGGGCAGATGACGAGGCTCTTAGTTGGGTTTGTTGCTAAGAGAAGAGTCATCATGCCATCGCAGTCATCTTGTTCCCGGTTCTTAATGTAATCCACATCGCCCGTGTATTCAGCAATAAATGTCATATCCTTAATAGGGCCATCAGCCTCTACAGTAAAACTACATGAAGAAAAAATAAAAAGAAAAAAAAAATTCAACAGGAACCTACTCTAAAGTCTAATATGAAGGTACCATATACAATTGCCAGCATAGCATTATGAATGAGTTGAAGATGAAAGGTACCCTTCACATGAATCAAAAACTACTATAAGCGGCGGACATTCTCCTCTTCTACACATGGCTCTGCACTGTTCCAAGGTCTCGGCGTCTTCTTTCGAAAGAACCTGTAAAGAAAAAGGTCTTAACTTATGCAATCAACAAAGTAGCTTCTGCTGCATTAGGGAACATTTGCAGCCAGTGTCAAATTATATCATAACCAAACAAGATGCAAACTTGATGGAGTCTGATGACAAAAAATTATGATTCTTTTTTTTTTTGAACATTCGCTTTCCCTCCAATTGCAAGAATTAAGACAAAAAGAGACAGAGAAAGAGAGGCTCTGAATGAATACCTGCATGCCACCATCTTCAAAGTCGGATTGATTAGCAGACTTAGGAGCCATGCCGGGTACATAAGTGAGATCATCGCTGAATTCCATTTTCAATGTGGTTAAAGCGGAAGCCAATGATCCCATTTGTTTCAACCTTTGAGCACGATCTTCTGACGAAATGAACGGCAGGAGTCTCCTTCTCTTCTTTTGCATTACTAGTGATCCCGAACGCCTGCGGCGCTTTCTAGCATCTGAAAATCCCAATTGAAAACCATCACACCATCACATAGAACACGATTACGTTCATAATCTCTAATCTATACAAGAAAATAAGAATAACAACAATAAGTGAATTTAAGCATGGCTTCACGTGCTAGTAGCAACATTATGCACGCAATCACATCCATGCGTATATACAAACATATAGAACTAGGTTATGTTCCTCAACTAAGAAAAAGAAATTATTTGAATCCAATCATACGCACAAATTGTATGGTATTTAGCGTATTAATGAATGCGCAGAACGATGTTTTGTGAGGCATGAATGAAGACATAAGAATTATCGTTAAAAAAACAAACAAGAAATGCAGGTTAACCTTGAGGAGACGGGCATTTATCTTTGACGGAGTTGGTGCATTTCTGGATTCGGAAAAAATCGATTATCTTCTTCTGCGAAAAGCCTAACCAAAACAAACACGAAATCATCATCAGCATTGTCACTCTCGAACATCGCCGATCATCCAAAACTAAAAAAGAATTGCAATAAAAATAAAAACAAAAATCCGTACTTGTTCTTACTCTTCTTCGGTGGCCGGAGCAGGAAGGGCAAAGCCAGCAGCCGATGGGAACTCTGGCGACGATTGGCCTGAGGCAGTTGAGGTGGAATCCTCTGTCGCATTTGTCGCAGAGGAGGAGCTCATCGGCCTTCTCGCCGGAGCCGCATTGCTCGCACCGTGACCCGCCGTAATCGCCGCCGTCGGCCACCGCGTACTCGGCCCTCGCCATCACCTCCGCCAGCGGCTTGAACTTCTTCGCCGGCGGTGACTCCGGCCGGAAAGGAGCCGAAGTGCGGCGGCGCCGGGAGGCGCCAAATCGGATGAGGCGCTGACACGAGGGTGGAGCCATTGGTGAATTTGGGGAAAGTCCGAGGGTAGAATTGGAATTGAGGAGGAGATTCTATTCTCTTCTCTGAGAAAGAGGAAGAGATGGTGGTCTTTGTTTGTGTATCTCTCGGGGAAAGAGAGAGAGAGAGAGAGAGAGAATGGGAATGAGGAGAGTCGGACAGAAGAGAAGAGAGAGAGAGAAGAAAGAGGCGGAGTGTGGCCCTACGTTGACGTGGATGCATTTTATTGGTTAATGTCTGATGTGCGCACGGAAACTAATGTGCGCACCTCGAGCTTCTTACATGGTAGCCGTTTTGGCAGTCAGAGGACGGAATTGCCCTCTAGAGGACGGAATTGCCCTCTAGAGGACGGAAACGGAAAAGGGTATGTTTGTTTGGGGGGACAATGGAAATATTTGGATGGATGAAAAATGTGAAAGATGAAAAGCCATTCTAAAGAGTCGTTTGCTGATAGATGGAAAAATCGAAATAATGAATGATAATTATTTGTACAACAAATATATTGCCAATAAAAGCCAATTTCTCAAGCGCATGCTCACTGGAAGGTGGAAGGAGGAAGCTTAAGTGCCAACGGCGTCATCAAAAGTCACCAAAAAGTGTAGCAGTCACTGAATACATAGAATGACCTAGGATTTAATTATATGATTAGTTGTAACACCCAAAAAGTTAAGGGTTTCATTTTAGTTAATGAGAGAATCAGACTATAATAAATTAGAGAAGTATACTCTATATTCTCGATATATTATAAATTCTACTAAAATCATATAAAAGATTACACACTCTATTTTCAATACAAGAACCTTGAGGTTTACTAAAATCTACTAAAATCACATATTATAAATTCTACTAAAATCATATTGTTGTCACCATGTTTGTATGTTCTAACAACGGAGGTAGTCTTATTAACAAGCTATGGTCACATTCAATTTTGTAGGGCATTTTATATGACCACCACATATTTTAGCCTTGGATTGACTTGTACTATGGGAGAGAAACTTTTATAGAATATGACGGTCACGTTATCACATTATATTTAGACTATCAAATATACTCTTAAGATATCAAATGGTATCTAATTGGTATCCACCTAGATACCGGACATATATGAGAGTTTTTCACTTTGCTTGTGATTAGGAAGGCAATAAGGACGAAGCTATGGCCATCTCTGCACGTTCCTCCTCCGATGAATTCAATCTCACCGGACACCATTTTATGATCCCTTGCTTAATTATAGAGCACTGAGAAAGAGACCTCGCGGTGGTTTAAATCTGTGATGGAGAAAGTTTAAATCTGCAATGGAGAGCATATATTCATAAAAGAGTTATCCATTTAGAGATATTTTCTATTTATTTTAAAACTTGTTCTGCCACATGGCAGAAAAACTCATAGTTTTGTCACCTTGGTAGAAGTCGATCCGCACCTTTACTTTGTGGTAAGATCAATAAATATCTCAATTTTGTATGTGTCAAATAGACATTTTCTTGTTGGATTTCCTTTATAATTAGTGGTCATTTGCGATTATATTTGAGCATATACGTTGTTAAATTTAAAATGAAATTTTTCCTTAAAAATGATTATGTTATGTATCTAGCTCATTCAAAAAACCAAACAACCCAAGACTTCTTTTGTAAGTATCTTTTCTATTTGTTTAGCAAGGAGAAGGGCGAGTTCTAGCACCAAAAGAGAGGAAGAGAAGTACAAGAGTTTGGTTCCCTTAAAAGAATAAAAAATATTTACTTTTTTTGTCCGGTTAATTATTAAATTATAATTTTTAAAAGCATTTTTCATAGGCGCTCTCTTTTTCTTTCTAAAATTTTTTCTCCTCCTTCTTTCTAAATTTCTCTGCCTACCTTTTCTCTTTAGCGTCGGACCTCTAGCAACAAAAATCTCATCTCTAACCTCACAGCGAGATGATCTACTAGGTGATAGGCTCATTCTCTCTAAGTTTCTTTACCGGTCTTTTCGTCAGATATGACCCGTGAAGGTATGAGTTTCTTAGTAGTTTTACACGATCTTCAGAGGGTGTTCGCCAACCGTAGAATCTGGAAACTCATGGACAGACTTAGGGGAGTTGTTTGCTCGTGGTGTTCACACCATCTCTAACCATATCTCTCATATGTAGGTTTGTGGATTTGTGTATAGTTTTTTGTATTTTGTTCTTTTTTTTTTTTAATAATGGCGATGGTTTCCCCATTCCCCGGTGTGTTCCTCCAGCTAAAGGGTAGTTTTCCCACCTCTCTCAGTCTGTGGTGTTTTCTCCCCCAGTCAGCGGTTGGCTTCTCCACCGTTGTTAGTCTGAGGTTGTAACGCCTCGAAGAATTAAACAGGTTTAATTATGTTAATTTTGATATATTAGTGTGCCTAATATTAATTTTTCTTAATTAATCATGTCATTAAAATTTTTAATTACTTTCAGTTTTGAAAATACACTTACTTTTTCTTTCCTCTAAATGCCATTTAATATATTTTTCTTCATTTTCTTTTCTTTTTCCATTTCTTTTCTTTCTTTCTTTTCATTTTTCTCTCTCTCCTTCCCTTTTCTTTTCTCTTCCTGCAGCCCACCCCCTCTCTTTCTCTTCTCTTTCTTTTTCTCGTCTATCTCTTTCCTCTGCTTTTCTTACAAGCGGCCTCCTTCTCTCTCTCCCTCGTCCGGCGTCCTCTCCCTCCCGGCGCCTGCTCTCTCCCTCCTGGTGTTTTCTCTCTCTTCTCCCCCTTTCTCTCTCTTTGGGTTGTTCCGGCCGAATAGCAAGAAAGAAAAAAAAAGAGAGAAAAGAGAAAGAATGACCCCATCAACCAATTTAAGGTAAAACCCCTTAAAACCCACTATTTGATTTGAATTTTAAACTTGAGAAAGTTTGATTTTGCTTAGATTTGATAAATTTTAGTTATGGTTTAGATTTGAATAAATTGTGGTTGAACTTAGATTAAATTTCGGAATTTTTAGTTATTGAACTTATTGAAGTGTTTGGAAACTAGTTTTAATGATTTCTTGAGGATTTGTTTTGGAATTGAACTTAAATTGCAAGTTTGGCATTTTCCTCAATTCTATCAGCATGCTGTCGAAATTTCTTTAAAAACTCGTTTTAAGCCGAAATTCAAAGGGAGAAAAACAAACTAATGAATTGGATCTCAATTTTAAAGAGCCACAAATTGAATTGTGAAGCTGTGTGTTAAACTTGGATTGAGTCACTAATAGGAAGCAATTAGACATGATTGAGCTTGATTCGTTTTAGGAATGATAATTATATCCTAAAACGTTGCTTTTGTGATAAAACTAGTGGAGAAGATTGAGTATTAAAGCTTTAAGGAAATCAGATGTTAGGGTGATGAGAAGCTAGCCACATGTTTGATATCTGAGAGATAAGATATTCTTGTCCATATCCTTGTTAGCCTATTTTAAAGTGATTTGGGCTATGTAAATGTTTTTAAAGATAAGACATGTTTGATAAAGAAAAGTATTTTAAGACAATAGCTTGATTATTGCTATTGATCTCATAATGAGCTGATTTAAAGTTTTAACATATATTTTCTTAAGATAAGATATCTTGCGAATTGGTAAGCCCGCTAATGGCCTAGACATTATATGGAGATCCTATCCTTGAGGCAGGATCCGAAACCCGGACGGGCCACTACGATGGTGTTTGGCCTTGCATTGGTCATAAGTACTTTAATTACTTTAATTACTTAAATTACTTACTGGTTGCCTGTAATATGGAATTTTAGTTTATTTTCCTTTCAGAAAAAGGTTGTTTGGTTCTGGCTGATTCGTTCAGGCCTGTACTTTCATTTATTTATTCAGTTTTATAAAATTATATCCTACTAGACTTTTCGCATTTTTCTATATTTTCAATGTTTTAACTGTTGGGAACGGTGTCCTAGAAGCATAAGATGTAATAGGATATTTATTATTTATTTAATAAAAGAGTTTATTCATCATTTTATGTGTATATATTTGTGAATATTTTGTGAATATCAATGAAAATTCTGTGATTATTTATATAACCTTAAACATTTTATATAAGTGTTATATACGAGAGGATAATGTTTAAGGATAATAATCAAAAATATTGTTCATAATGAATTTAATTAAAGTTCAGAATCTTTAATTAAAACATTATTAATGCATGTCATTCCCATTTAGAATGGAACGGTGTTATCCACAC